TTATACAAACCTGTCTGAGCGCTACTTTATTCAATATCATGACTGCCAAACTTAAAAGCAATAGTTGGACCATGCAACCAGCCACCGTCCCCAAGCCAAAAGCCAGCGCATCATCTTTAACAGCCTGCATATTCTCGGCGTGAGTTGCATTTGTGCTAATTGATAATGGAATAATGTTTAACCGTTATTTGTGCGATAAATAAATAAAGTATAGCAAAAAATTGTGGAACTTACAGCGTCTTGCCACCGCCGAAAATATTCAAGATTGGTGCAGGCGTTGAAGTGCCAATGCCCACATCGCGATCTATGAGCAAAGTGGTGAATTCGGCGTAAATGATGACATTGTATGGCACGCAAATTGAAGACAGCGATGCCGCAAGCATACCGATGACCATTATCAGACGATCCCATATGCTGGCATAGCGAAACTGAAGAGTATAAATACAATTTACAGCTTGACTTTCCACAAAATTTATCCATTTCTACTTATCTATTAATATATAACACTTAAAAATAATTTTTCTATTCCATTCTATTCCTCGAAGGGTCCTAATGCATAAAGAATTTYCGGTAAGTACCTTTCTCAATATCGAGGGCCTTCAATAATGTGCGTCCGGAGGCAGTAATTAAAGCAATAAAGCTATCGAAAAGTTTGAGGTGGGATTTAACTTCAAGTACTTCATATAACATAAGTAACTGCGACAGAAGGGTCGCAGGGTCAGTAGGGTAATCCGTCTGGACTGCTTTTATGAAATTTTTTTTTCAAAGAAATTTGTATTACAGAAAAAGCAAAAAAAATGTTTGAAAACAGATTACCCTTCTGACTCCTTAAAGAAAAGCTTAAACCAGTTGATAAGATCTTATTCTACAGGGCTTATTCTTGAGAGTAAACTTTCATGGAGGCAAAATTGAACGCGCCCAAAGAGCGTCTCTCATCGGCATGACGCCATTCCACACATAGCATCGGTGGGTATTGCCGGCAGGTGCATTGTTGGGGATACAGCTCTAAGGCTGAGAGAAGCTGGCAGGTGCATTGTTGGGGATACAACAAAATCGTGGTCGGCTCAAAGYGCTTTCTCGATTTATGCGAGCCTTTATAATAAATTTTTATAAGAGTTCTAAGTACCACAACGGACCGGCGCTAAAAACTGTCCAATCGACATCCCCATTTTAGGTTTTGACCACTTAATCTAAACTAACGTAAAATTATGTAAGTTTAGRTATAGAATGGGTTCTATTAACCATTGTCGAAGAAATCGTTGTTGGCCAAGTTTATAACCTCGCAACACCTTCGTATTTTGTTCGCCTAACGGTCGTTAACACCATATAAAAGTAATTGAGATAGATGTGCGACTTATATACTTGTAAATAGTACTACTGTAACAAATAAGTAGACTAAGTGCAGTTACTATCATAATTTTGTTCTCATTGTTATTTCTTATCTCTTGTTTTATTATGCAGAACTTTTATAATACTAATTATATTTCAATTTAGTTTAATTTTAATTTCTTTGCGTTACATTTGGGGCTACAATTCTGAATTTTAGCTAGAGGCCATCATAAATCCACGTATGAGGAGACGGGTTGAAAGTAGTACACAGTTAGCTCACTTGTTTTTTTTATAAATTTCAATATTAGCGTAAGTTTTTATATAAACAAACAAAACTGATTATTATTATAATTAATTTTAAATAATTAAGTGTTTTGATATTATACTATTACGGTAATCTATAATTTAATCTGTGTGGAATTTTAACTATTTGTGAGAAAACCTTAAAACGCCAAAGTTCCATTTATTATATTATAATTATTCCAAATAATCGTATCTCAGTTGACGGACCTTAATTGAATAGCAACAATACATAGTTGTATAAATAATATAATATTAATTCGTATTTATACGCTGTTTAATTTGGCGTCAAAATCAAGAATTAATTGACATGCATATATGATTTTTGTGATCAAAAAGTCACTAATTTAGAGCACTGAATTTCTTAAGTTGCCACTTACCAGCTCCAAATAAGGATACTTCTTTTCTGTAGTACGACTCTCACTAAAAGCAGAAGAGCAAAGTACAAATATTAGTAAAAAAAAAAGGATTGGAAAAAAGAGTACAACTTACTTTCGTGTTCCCTGAAAGTCGCTTGGTCCTGGCAAACCCTCTGATTTTTTGAAGTTTTCAGCAGGATCCGAAGGACCTTGTATTGAAACATTATAGCTACTGCTAACCATTTTTACGCTCTTTTGAATAAACTAGAGGATACTAGTCTTTCCCTAAAATAAAGAAAATAAAAGAGTTCAAAAAACTTTGCTTTCTGAAGATAAATGATACTGCGTAACTGCAAAAAATGTCACTTTGATTTGTTTCACTTTACAAATTGAGGCCCTTGATTGTATAGTAGACAGAAGTATTCTTAATTGTTTCTTTATACATATGTATGTATGTATGTGTGAATACAGAGACGTGTTCATACACAAATATGTGGGCCCCAATTCATGATCAAGGAATTTTGACGCTTCGAAGTGTAACAAATCATTTAATTRTTTCAATGGGCGAACAAAGAATGTCGCGATCATTTTCATACGTACTGCAAATTCATAGACACGTACACATGCCTATATACATATGTATATACTGTATTTACGTAGTGGAGATGAAAAATAATAAACATTACAGACATTTGCTTAACAAATCCAAGAACAATGCCGTTGACAATCTTTGCTGTAAAATCATAAATTTGTAAAACAAAACTATATTCCGTCAGTCATTTATTAATACTGTATTTAATTAGAAGCGACTACGCCGGTACACATAGTAAACAGTTATGAACTTTTTTTGTATTCCTAAAAACATTTTACCTTTTATGACTTCAGTTAGATACTAACTATTAAAAAGTTGTCTTTGCTCTGATAACGTTATTTTATTGACATAACTATAATATGTGAAATCGAAAATATGCAACATCGTTTTTAATGCAAGTCCTACGGGAGTTGCGAGCTGAGGGTTCAATGAGCTGATAATTATAAAGCTCATTTCTCTGAAAGTGTCCGGAAACATAAAATGCTCAATTATTTACTGATTCACATCCACATTTTATTTGTTGCTGGGATCAAAAAGTAATATTTTTTAAAAAGGTATAAATATCTCCGAGTTTAAATAACGCGAGTTACGTTTTTGAAAAGAACTTAAAGTAAATTGCTTCAAATTTTGTTTGTGGCAAGAAATTTATTGGAAATGTTGTTGAAGGCCTGAGGTGATCAAACTCGGCACAAAAAAAACGTTCATAAGTAGTACAAAGAGTTTCGAGTGGCCAGAGAGTGCGTTACAGCCAAATCGCACTCTTTACGACCATAATCTTCTATTGACAAGAACCACGTCCAAAAAAAAATCAAAGATTTGGTGCTTGAAAATCATGGACTGATAATTAGGGCTATCGCTATATAATTTGGCTTAACCAAAACCATTTTGAAGAATKTTTTGTGTCTTAAACGAGTCAAATCAGCCGAAATCGCTCAAACGCACCATGTCATACTGCATTGGTTCTTTGCGCCTTTTTTTTCRAAAATTCGAAACGTTTGTCTGGCGAGTTTTACCCCGAAAAATATCAACAACGAGTTTTCTTAAGATTTTTTGTTCTTAATGGAGATCGTTGAAAATATTTCAGAAGTGTTTCGGTGTCATGAAGTGATCGAAATTTCGATAACATCTAAAAAGTGAAAAAAACAGTTCTTGTAAATCGTACTCTCAACACACTTTAGTTAGTGCTTTGGGTATGAAGAGTGTCAATGTTAGGCTAGTACCAAAGAACCTGAAATTTTGGAAAACTGATGTCGAGTAGGGATCRCTGAAGGAGGATCCTCATTCATAAAACACGTCATTACTGGTGATAAGGCGTGAGTTTACTTATATTACGCCGAAATTGTCCAATAATCTAGCGAATGACACTCCGGAAACGCGACAAAGCCGAAAAACCATGATCTGGTTCACAATAAATTTATTTAAAAGGGTCAATTGGTCAATAAGAATATTAATTGTTCGCCTACTAAACGATGTTCAAAACATTTATTGAGTTTTTACCACGCAAAGGCGCTGTTAAATATCTTTGTAAGATTTGGCCCGTTAGAAGGAAGGAGGATAGAAAAACAAACTAAACGTCGCATGGAATTGGGGCAAAGTTTATTATCTTTAAATTATTTTCTAATCAAATTAAAAAAACTAAGAATGGTCCAGTTTGAGCATATTTTTAAACAACTTCAAGTAAAATTTTTCTGGTCAAAACCAACCTACTTTTTTTTTCATTAAAAAAAAAATTATAGAATTTTACACTTTTTTTGAATTTTCTTATTGTAATAAGAAGATAAGTTATTAAAATATATGAATTTCTTTGTTTTTTTTATTTCTGATAGACATTGCGACCTGCATCCTGCCCGCCGTTAGACAAATGCACATTCGAGATGCATCGGGTAATTGCTTCCCAAAGGCAGATAATCAAACATTTCGTAAAATTTTCGGATGATGTTTAAATACACATATAATTATAAACCCTAGAAATTTCGATTTAATCAATTATTTTTTCCCTCCCCCAAAAATCCTAAAATAATCGATATTTTTAAGCCTTTAAAGCAGGCTCCCTCCCTCTTAATTTGAATAAATTGGCTTCAACAATTTTCTTTTGCGGCATTTTAGTGTTCATTCTTTTTACATGGCCATGCCAACTTAATCGTGGCAATTTGATAAAACATTAATTTATAACCACCTATATATCAAAAAAGCTAATTTAAGTCGATACCTTTAACGAAATTCATACTGAGAACAGGCAATTATTTTAAATAATAAATCTACTTTGATACGCTGTTAAGTTTGCTATGAAATTTGTAAATCCCAAAAGGAATCGTCTGAGACCTAAAGTATATAAAGAATTGATCAGTGCGAGCTGTTGAGTCGATTTAGCCATGTCCATCTGTCCGTCTCTTCGTATGAATAACTTTTTTAATTTGTCATTTTCAGGAAACTCAACACAAATTATCCACCATAGAGTATAGCTGCTATACAAACCGGTCAATGTAAATCAAGTTCTTGTTTGGAAAACGTTTTATTTGACAAACTCAAGAAATTGGCATGTCTATAGATTATTATTCRAGGCAATGCGTAAATTGTTCATATCTAAGATATGCACCTGTTAAGTGTATTAAAGCATCGGGATCTGGCCTTTCACAATTATTTTTTCAAACTTTCGGCGAATTACGAATCTTTTACATTCATCACTTCCAATAGCACTTTACTAGTCATTTTCTAGGGCACACACTTCTAAATCTAATCAATTTAAATTATTTTATGTCGATAAAGGGCACTATTAGCAAATATATTTCCTATAAACACTTCAATCGAGCACTTAAGCGGATATTTATCTAGGTTTTATATAGCTGCTATACAAAGCGGTCAATTTAAATCAAGTTCTTGATTAGAAAACGTTTTATTTGACAAACTCAAGAAATTGGCATGTCTATAGATTATTATTSAAGGCAATGCGTAAATTGTTCATATCTTAGAAATGCACCTGTTAAGTGTATTAAAGCATCGGTATCGGGGTTTTCTCAATTATTTTTTTAAACTTTCGTCGAATTATGAAATTTTTACATTGCTCCAACGCTACCAACAGCACTTTACTAGTAATTTTCTGGAGGACACACTTCTAAATCTAATTAWTTTAAATTATTTTMTGTCGATAAAGGGCAMTATTAGCAAATATATTTCCTRTAAACACTTCAATCGAGCACTTAAGCGGATATTTATTTAACATATCAAAGCCCGAAAGTTATATATAATTCAAAAAGAGTGAGTAGCGATTTTAACTCGCTTGATTTGTTAAATGTGAAAATCCCATAACAATTCTCAACTTTGTCTAAGCTTCACAATCTTATCGGAGGGCACTTCAATCTTAAATCAAATTTTTTACACCACTTCTTCCTACCAAATATTCGTCAACGCGTGCAATCAACGCGAGCTCCCAAACGCGACTGGAGTCCTCACTCTGCTCCAACTGAATGACTCTATTGGCTAGCAGTACCGCTAATTATAATGATCATTTTGAGAAAGTCGTAGTGCCGACAATAATGCCCGATTGTTTACGTACTAATTTATTCTGTTTTCATTTTCTGGGCTACAAATACATATGTATGTATATTGCGGCCATAAAAGTTCTTATCACTTCATTGAAATATAACCATTTCAATATACATGCGTTAGCAAAGCTGTTAGCAATTGAGGGTTTGAAAGTACAATAGCTTGATGTTAATAAGCCTTTACCAGACGTGTAGCAGATCCACTTAGTTTAGAATATACATACATATGTATGGGAGATGCCTTCGAGCTATTATTTATATAATTTTATACTCTATTTCATTTTATGAACATGTGATGCGACTATTTAGCAAAGCGACTGCTGGTCATTTGTCTCTAATATTCGATATTGTCGAAGCTGAAGAATCTGAGTTATTTCAGTAGTTTATCTGCGTCATAATGGTCCAGAAATAAAATGTTGGTAGCTGCGAAAGTATGAATTTGTTCAGTTGAAGGATAGGTCTTTATGAGGCTGTGGATAATGAAGCAACGAGATTATGTTCTTGTTGTTCTTATTGATTAGACACCGATTAGACGGCTATAGTMCAGTATATAAYAATAAGGCGGKTTTTTACTTTCCATGGAGGACCGTAGCGGGTCCCAAACCGAGGACACACCCCTGTGGGAGGGATGGATTATGTAAGTTCTATTAAAGGTCATTGATCTCTGCTTATTAGGAAAACAATCCATACACTCTATATATAGCGGTTTTCGTACAAGTATTTACAAAGTTAAATCGATAGTAAAAGGAGTATAATTTATTATACATATATGTGAGGTGATTAATCAGAGATCTAATGACACMTACTCGTAGCCAACCCCTTTTTATTATTAACTTATCTTGATCTAAAAGTAACGAGCAGAAGAATKCGCACATCTAATAATAAACAATCCGCATCTATTACTGTTTATTTAACTATGTTTATTTGATAAGAGGCAGGAGTGACTCGCTAAATTTTGGCSTAATAGACAGAGTGTCGATAACGAGATATCAGCCCACTGCTAACCAATAAAACAATATTGTTTAATATCATCTGCGTATCTAGATTAGTCGTTTTGGCGCTGCCTTCAYCTAGTCTTCGGTTGTTCCAATGAATAAAACCAGGGGGTGGGGGTGTTTGTTGGCGCTGTGGTTGACGTGTACTGCGTCCAATATTTTCAGAGCTAGATTGCTATTGTCCATTCGGACGAGAGGGTACATTACTATTAGGAAACGATTTTCTCTGAATTTCATTAGCACATACCACAGATTGAAAGATACTTTCGGTAAAAAAGCAACCACTGGGGTCCAAATATGTATACGGAATTTTGTGTTTGAAAACACACAGTTTATATTATTTACAGTTAACAGTTTATATTATTTATWGCTATATCTGACTGTAAATCGTTTAGGATTTTTTATTGAAATTACRTGGACAAGTTTTCCTAAAACTAATCAGACACTGAATATTAATGAATAATAGTGAAGACCTTAAATCTCATGCTTTGATCCTTTAAAATGACGTGAGTATAAAATATTCGTTTACATCCGAATTTAGTCCTTCTGCTATCTCACTTGTTGTTTTTTTTTTTGTATTTCGATGTTAGAGTAAGTTTTGATTTAACAAACTAAACTTATTATTGTTATAATTGAATTTCAATAATGAGGTGTTTTCACATTGTACTATTGCGGTAATCTATAATGTAATCTTCATAGTTTATAAGTGAAATTTTAACTATTTGTGAGAAAACCTTAAAACGCCAAAGTTGCATTTGTTGTATTATAATAGTTCCAAATACTCGTATTTACGTAGAAGAGCAACAATAAATAATTGTATAAGCAATGTTAATTCATATTTATACGCTGTCAATCAATAATAATCGGCCTWTTAATATACATACATACATATATGATTTTTGTGATAAAAAATTCGCTAATGTCGACTACTGAATTTCTTAAGTTGTCACTTACCAGCTCCAAATAAGGATACTTCCTTTCTGTAGTACGACTCTCACTAAAAGCAGAAGAGCAAAGTACAAATATTAGTAAAAAAGGATTGGAAAAAAAGAGTACAACTTACTTTTGTGTTCCCTGAAAGTCGCTTGGTCCTGGCAAACCCTCTGATTTTTTGAAGTCTTCAGCAGGATCTCAAGGACCTTGTATTGAAAAATTATAGYAACTGCTCACCATTTTTATGTTCTTTTAAAGAAACTAGGGGACACTAGTCTTTCTCTAAAATAAGAAAATAAAAGAGTTTAAAACACTTTGCTTTCGGAAGATAAATGATACTATGTAACAACAACAAATGTCACTTTAATTTCTTAACATTACAAATTCAAGTATGGTAGATAGAGGTATTCTTAAGGGGTCAGTAGGGTAATCTGGCCTGTTTTTAGAAATTTGTATTCCACAATAGAACTTTTTTTACATATCATGARGTATATCGTGGAGTGTATAAACAATTTTTTCGGAATAGTTGATCGGAATCATGGCCGCCAGTTTAAAAAAGATTGTTTTGAGAAAAACCTGTTTAAAGTTTGAGGTGTACACTCCGAGCGCTCCKTACGTCGAGCGGTATTATTATTTTTGAGCCTTTTTCTAAACATTCCAATGGAAATGTGAGTTGCTACATTAATTCTAAGGGTATAAAGCAGTGTTTCCCAAAGTGAGCGATAACGCATCCTTGTGGGCGCTGCAGGTGTCAAGGGGGGCGGTAAGAGACCCAGAAAGAAAATGAGGGCGTTGTGTAGAGGCCTGGGGGGGTTATTTGTAATTTTATTTAGCTAGGAGGCCTCTTAGACAACGACTACATGAGCTCTCGACTCTCAACAACAACTTGTGAACATCAACTAATATGAATTAAAAGATTGCTCAAACTCGGTTCTATATTTCTCTCCGCGTAGTTCATACTCGTATATCTGCCCTATTTTATTGAATATAGAAAAAATGAAAATCATGTCAATCGGTCGCTCCGTTTCATAACGGGGCATCTCGACAGGATAGAATTTATAGAATACTAACTGTCAAACGTATTGCTATTGCCATTGCCAAATYTGTATGTGGGCATTTGCTATCATAATATAATCATTTGCGCAAAGGTGTAGGGTAGGTAGGTTCGAGCTGATGTAGCGCACGTTTTGAGCTTTTGAATTCCTTAAATCTTTTTTTTTGTATTTCTGGGGAAAATAAATAAAAGGATAAAGATCCTTTTTTTACAAATGTATTTCTAGGAAAAATAAGAATTCATAATTTTGGACTACTATATAATAATTGCGCTTAAGCATTCCTATATAAACAATGTAATATTTATTTTATATTCATTTGTGGTTTTGCGCGTAATAGATGAGCATTACTTACGCCTCCTCTACAGTACKCGCGAAGTTAAACGTMTTTCTCARAGCAAAACAATGTCGGAAGTAACAAAGAAGAGACGGCAATACTGTGCGGAATACATTAAATTCGGATWCATTGAAAATCCCGCAAACCCATCCTCGCCTTTGTGTCTTCTATGTCTAAAAACATTTTCGAATGAAGCAGTGAAGCCTTCAAGACTGCAAGATCGTTTGAATAAAATGCATCCAGATAAGAG